ATAAGTGGCCTCTTACAATATTTCTCACTTTGTAACTGGCTGCTGCATTTCGCATAATGCACTCAAGGCCTAGCCACATTATAGCGCATATCAGAAATTCAGTCCTTTTTGTAGCTGAATCGTATTCCATTGTATGTATATCTCACATTTTGCTTCTCCATCTGTTGATGGACGCTGTTGTTTCCACCCTTTGGCTATTGCAGATAATGACGCAGTGAACATGGTGTGCAAATACCCATTTGGTTGGGTCCATGTTTTCAGTACTTTGGGGTATTTATCCAGGGGTGCAATTGCTGGGTCTGTTTTTCTGTATTTAACTTCTTGAGAAAGTGCCAAACTGTTTTCCACAGTGACCGCACCCTGGTATGTTCCTGACAGCAAAATACAAGGATTCCAAGTTCTCTAGACCCTCTAAAACACTTGCCAGTTTTTTTTTTAATTGTAGCCCCCCGGTAGCTCATTCACATCTAGGCTCAGGTGTGAAGTGGTATCTTGTGGTTTTTGACTTACTCTTCTCTGTAACTAAGGATGCTGAGTGGCTTTTCATGTGCTTATTAGCCATTTGTGTATCTTCTTTGGAGGAAGGTCTGTTACAGACAGTCCTCTGCCTATTTTTTAATTGGGTTGTCTCTTTGTTGTTGACTTGTGGGCGTTCTTTATGCATCTTGGATGTTAAACCCTTCTCAGACATGTGCTTTGCAAAGGTTTTCTCCTCTTCTGTGGACCGTCTTTTCAGTTTCTCGATAATGTCCTTTGATGCACCAAAGGTTTTAATTTTGATGGCGTTCAGTTTGTTTTTCCTTCTGCTGTTTGCGCTTCCGGTGTCCTAGCTAAGAGTCCATTGTCAAATCCAAGGTACTGAAGATTTATATCTGGATTTTAAAATTTTGTTTATTTGTTTTTGTTTTTTCCTAAGAGTTTTAAATGTTTATGGCTTTTTTATTTAGTCAGTGATCCATTTCCAGTTAAATTTTCTATGTGCTGAGAGGTAGGGGTCTAACTTCATTCTTTTTCATTTGGAGTTACAGTTGTCTCAGTGTATGAGTTAAAGTGTATGTGTTCCTCGCCCATTGAATGAGCTTGACACCTTTGTCAAAATTCAGTTAGCCATAGGTATGTGGGTTTATTTCTGGGCTTTCGGTTTTATTTCATTGGTCTGTAAGTGTCTGTCATTAAGCCAGTACCACACTGATTTGATGACCGCAGCTTTGTAGTAAGTTTTGAAATCAAAAGTGAGTCCTCCAACCGTGTTGCTTTTGGCTACTTAGGGTCCCTTGCAATTCTGTATCAAGGTGAAGATTGGTTTCTCCATTTCTGCAAAAAATATTTTGAGGGGGATTTTGATAGGGACGACATTGAATCTATAGATCACTTTGGGATGTCCCTTATAAGACTTAGTTACAAAAAAGAATGCCTTGATAGGACTAATTGTCCATTTCTGACAGTGGCATCAAGGAACATTTGTAGGAGAATTGAGTCAGAAGGCTTTGGAACAATCTCTATTTCTGACTTTTCTTAAGACCCTCAAGGATTGTACGTGTATTTAAGTTACCCAAGTTCTTATTTAATCTGTATAATTTTGAAATTTTCTTAAATCCTGATTTAGAAATTTAAACGTTATCAACATCCAGCTACTATTAATAAGACTGAAGTGTTCTTTTTATTTCTGCTCTGGTCTTACAGAAAACCCTTTGGATTCCCTTAAATTTTTTGTTGGAAACTTTTGAGTGCTGTATTTCCCCCGCTAGAAACTTTTCTAGGGCAGTGCTTTATGACAGACTCACGTGGTTTTCTGTAAGGGTGTGTATAGTAGTTTTCATTCTTCGTTTCTTCCTAGTGTGTCCATCGTTTTGAGGTGTGTGTTTGTTATTTGTTGTTTACTGTGCTGATAAAGACTTCTGGTTTTCATTTGACTTTAAACTAAAATACGAGAACCCTGTGTTGTTCACCATCATATTACACACTGTGTGCGTTTGATCCCTTTTCACATAGGGTACTTCCTTGTGCAGACTGGGTCCTCTGCTGCTCTTTTGAACGTGCATAAAACTTTATGAAATGTCTTGTACTGTATTCTTACTGGCTTTGTTTTGTGCTTTGCTGTCCAAACATCTCTGTGTCATTTGCAAACCTGAAGATACCTCTCTGTGTTTTGCTACTAAATTATCTAAAATAGTTAAAAGAATTGATCCTAATGTCATATGTGGGGCATCTTATCTCCTGCATGTGTCTGTCTGATTTCCTTTTTTATCCAGGACTCTATTCTCTAAAACAGTTCATTTATATAGAACTTGGTCAAGGATTTTTTTAAAACTTGATAAAAATAATGATGCTTACTTACTTTTGCTTATATATTTATTGTTTCAAAGACTCAGTTAGTAGAAATATTTTGTGGACTTGATGAATTTCTAGCTGACATTTCCCATTACTCTCCATCCATCCCTACCTTATAACTCCTAGTTTGTAAGGTTTTGTTGTTTTTTTTTTTTTTGAGTGCAGGTATTGGGGATTGAACCCATGACCTCGTGCATGCTAAGCATGTGCTCTAACCTCTGAGCTATCCCACCACACCTCCCTGTTTATAAGCTAAGAGTAAGTCATCTGTGGGCTGGACCTGTGAGGCCTTGTCACCAGGCCCAGCACATGCATTCACCTGCGCTTTGGCTATTTTGAGGCCTCTCTTTCCTTCTGGATTCCTGGTAATGTTTGAAACTAGCTTTTTTGGATAAATGAAATAATTTATTCTCTCTTGCTAGAGTGTGTTCTGTGGGCATTCGCCTTTTCCCCTCAGCGTGTTCAAAGACTCAGTCTGATGAGAGTCTGTTATTTCTCCTGTGGTTCACATCTGTGTGATAGTCAGAGAACTTGAGACTTTCATGGCTTCAAAGAGAGTTTCACCAGGTGCCAGTGCAGCTCGCGACACACAAGACTCAGATATATTTTCGTGGCACGTCTCAGGGGATGCAAACTTTTCATCCTTAAAGGAATAGTGTTGGTGCAACTAAGTATGTGACTATCTTCTTAGCTGTAAAGTTGAACCAATGGCTAATTGGTAAGACTTATAGCCTTAATTCTGAAGGAGGGAGTCACTGGTGAGGGAATTAGACATAAAATAAATAAATACATATAGTTTATTCATGTGGATGGATGTTAGTACTTTGTTGCTAAATTTGTAAGCAACTCAATTCTGGCAGCTTTGTACTTTTTATTAAGTGTTATATGAACATTGTATGCACTCCAAACACTTGTTTTTACTACATGAAATTTAAAAAAAAGAAAGTCATCTGATTATTATGTTTGTAAAACTTGTTTGGCTCTGTAATTTAATAAAATAGGAAAAACTTAAAGTCATATGATTTTCTTTAGATTTTAATGCTATATTATTTAGCAATAAATCTTAAACATACACTATATATTTTTTTACCTTGTCCTATAACAGGATTAAATGGGCAGTGATGACATGAAACCTGCTATATATTTTACTAACACACTGAGATTATTTCTTAGTTTATAGTGTTTCAGTAAATTATAAGCTCCATTGTAAAAAATTAAATTACAATTAGGCAGTTTCCAGAACTGGAAGCCAAATTCTGTGTGTGTGGAAGATTTTCTGTATTTTAATGGTATTTAATTGTAAACCAAGAGAAGAATATTTAAAAACCTAGGTCATTTTAATTGCATGTGAAGTACCATGACAAAGAAGATAGGATTATTATATTTTCTTGGCAAATTTTTTTCCACTTTAAAAAAGCCCTTTAATATGTATCCTTTGAAAATATGTATGCATGAATGTATATATAAATATTTTTTAAAGGATTTTTCAGATATGCTAAGTATGGTTCTTTTGATTTTCATAGAAATAGCATTATGGAGCAGGAAATGACTTAAGTGAGGGCCTGGTTGAACCTGATGACTTTGCAAATGAGTACAGTTTAGACCATTGTCGGGTGTGTCAGCTGGAGGTCCCAAATTGATACAGTGAGAATGTTGACTTTTCCTGTTTTCTTCATTTTACTGATTATTTCTTTTCTTTTTTTTTTTTGTAACCGAAGTTGGGTTCTAATATGTGAACCATTGTGCACCACCACGCACAAAGAGAGTTATGAGAAGCAGGAATTTCCATAGGAGTCACTCAGATGTCTAACTGACTTGGGGGAACATCCTCAATAAAATAGTTCCCCGGAAGAGGTGTTCCCTCATATTTTTCTCAAAGATAGGTTATGGAAAATGCTTCCTAAAGTGTTGGCTGGAGGGAAGGGAGGGTTTTTGGAGCAGTGAATGGGCAGGGGCGGGGCAGGCATTAGCAGAACAAGCCAGGACGGCTAAGGACTCGCCATGGCTCTGGCTGGCACACAGCGCGTCAGAGGGAGTCAGCCTGCCCGGCGGGTGGGGGCCTGCCCAGACAGGGCGGCGGTGCCGGGCCTCAGGTCACGAGTGCAGTTTTCAGGAGGAAAGGGGCTTTTAGAATGCAGGTCCGCTTACATCACTTTGCAGCTAAATGCCCTGCCTTTGGATACCTTTTCCTTAAACTTATTTAGAATAAGTTGATTTGAAAATTTATAAAAATAGGTACATTTTTAGGTGAAAGAAATGTTTAACATAAACACGTTAAGTCGTAGAAGAGAATCGTATGCATTTTATACTTTCTTTGGATATTTTTCTAGTTTGCCATTGATTCATTTCCCACCCCTGTTAGACTAAACCTAAATCTTCATCTACCTGGGAATGATCTGAAACAGCCTAACACAAAAACACATTCATAATGATTCTGCATGACTTAGATTGTGAATTCAAAAACATTATACTGGAATTTTCCAGAAAAATATTCATGAGATATCAGAATTCGGATGGTTTCCTGTCATTCTGTGTGGACAGTGATTTGAGATAGTTTCTCTTTCTTCAGTGTGTGTTTTTTGTAGTTATCTTGTTTTTTATTTTTGTATTTCTGAAGTGTTAACTTAAATCCCAATTTATGTTTCTTAAATATTTTTTCTTCTTTCTAGTTTCGGCAAGCGTTCTGCAGGAAGCTTTAGGCGTGGCTGTGAATGCATTGTTCTCGAACCTTCTGAAATGATTGTGGTAAGAAAGCTTCTGTGGAGACTTTCCCCTCAAGAAAGTTACGAAATAAAAGCATTTTCACAAACTACTTATAATAGTGTATTTTATAACTTTAGATGTATTTATTTGGTAACTTTCTGGATTTGAGTTTATAATCATACTGTTATAATTATTTATAGGATTCAGTTAAATGATAAAGTTAAAGAGGGCAAGTACCTAAATGGTGCTTGAACTTTATAAATCAGTCTCTGATAATGCCATTTCATTGAAGTTTGGGGATAATTTTGGAATTGCAGGATTTTAGCCCTCCAGATACTGATTGGAATGAGTGAGATACTTTAAATGAGTCACAGTGATATGTACTCAGGCAACAATTAGCGTAAGGAACCCCATTCACTTCCTTTAGCTAATTGAAAGAAATCTGGGGGACTTTTATGCTAATTAGGCACTCTGTTGAGAGTCTTAACTCTCTTTTTAACAGAATTGTGTAATTAATTTATTTATTTTCACAGTACTTTATTTTTATTTTTTAATGGAGGTGTTGGGGATTGAACCTAGGACCTGACGCATGCTAAGCACGCGCTCTACCACTGAGCTATACCTTCCCCCGCTTTACAAATTTTTTTGTTTTGTTTCTTTGTTTTTTAGGGGGAGGTAATTGGGTTTATTTATTTATTACTTTATTTTTTTTATTTAACAGAGGTACTGGGGATTGAACCCAGGACCTCGTGCATGCTAAGCATGCACTCTATCACTGAGCTATACTCCTGCCCTGAATTGTGTGATTTAAAAAGTATATTGAGATAAGATGTATGTAGAAAACCATAATGTTAGAAGAGATGTTAGCCACATAATTACTTTTACTGATGCTTTAAAAAAAATCCTGTCACATTCTTCTTTTCATATAAAAGCAATGTTAAGATAGGGCAATATTTACCCCTTTAAAAAAAAAAAGGCAACGAAACTAAGAAGATGGGAGGAAGTGCCCTGTACAGACCCTCAGTTGGTGCTCCCTGTCCAGTGTCTCTCTGGGAAGGAAAATTTTGTGAATGAATGACACCTGAAAATAGATGATGACAGAGGATTTTCTTTCACATTTGGTGAAGTATTTGGCGAATGACTGGCAGTCCATTTTCAGAGGAGACGTAGGTTTCTTCCCTATGATGGAAAAGAGGCATTCGTCAGAAATGAGAACTTCCTCATCAGAGCACGTGAAAACTTCTTGTAAAACCTCACAGACTTTACCCTTAACTGAGAAAGTGGCGTGCCGGCGAATAAAGATTCAGGATGGGAAGGGTGGAGGCAGAGACGTAGGACTTTCCAGCAACAGGTCTCGAGAAGCATTTGAGATAATTCCTCAAGATCTTGGTCTCCATTACTGCTGGTTCGTGTTTCTCTGAAGGGTTTATGATCCTCAGAAGTCCTTGAACAGACAGTCGTGGTGTCTAGATGTGCCTCCCTGGGGAGCAGGCTCGTTTTCGTCGTGTAAGCAGGACGAGGGTTAACCTGATGTAACTTTTATTCTCTGGTCCTCCATTCATCACTTTCTAAATGTTGAAAATGAGGAAATTATTTTTTGAAACAACACTATGTATGAAAAAAGAAACTGAATCCATAGAATGAAAGTAGGAAGAGGAAACCCTTCGGTAATCCACCACAGTCATTCCACTCGTAGGCGCGTTTGAGTCATTTCAGATTTGGGGTTTTTTTGCTTTCTGTTTTCACACAGATTAACTACATCAGGGTCTCTGCACTTTAGTGAAGACAAAGGACAGTTGCTTTCCTAATGTGTGATGATGTATCCTGTGAGGGCTTTCACTAAGAAGTCAGCACAAAGGCTACTGAAAATGTCCTTCCCTTTGGAACTACAGGAAATTCAAGAATTACCCATGTTGTCCCAAGTGGAACTGAAAATGCTTCTTTATAAAAGAAAAGTTAACTCAAAACCAGTTAGTTCCGGAGAAGCTCAGAAAGGCTTAAGTCTGTCGAGATAGCCTGTCCACAAATGTCTTTGCAAAATGAACAAGTGTGGACTATCTGTAAGTTTTATTCTGCAGCTGATCTTAACATGGGATGTTGTATTTGAAGCAATGAAATTTTGGGGGATTTTATTTCAGGTAGACTATATGGATGAAAATGAAGAATATTTCCAGCGTCAAGCTTCTCATCGACAGTCTCGAAGGAGATTCAGAAAAATCAACCAGAAAGGCGAAAGACAAACAATTATCGACACCGTGGACCCTTACCCTGTGGGGAAACCACCTTTGCCGAGAGGCTATCACACGGTAAGTTGTCAAAGTATACAATACTTCCATTTATCTTTAGTTTCTTGAAGGGAGTCTCATGAAAAGACATTTAAGTTTTCTTTTTTTGATGCATAATTCTTCTGTGATATACTTATCCAAAATGCAGGTTTTCCTGGAAACACACATTATAGGAGTAGTTTTAAGGGACGTTGAAATAAGATATCAGAAAACATTGTTTAGCCTTTTTATTTATTAAAATGTGCTCTGAGGCTCAGCTCTGTGGTCAGCTTGTACCGTTGTCACTGGAATATTTTTAGGTTCTTGCCTTAATCTAAAATTTTGGCCTCCTCCCCATTCCCAGGGGCAGGTATCCTACCCGTTTTTTTATTCAAATGTAGATCTCTAAAAATTACTTCTTATTTTCATGGCTTTTTATACCACTGTGAGAATATTACCTAAATTTTTTTTTGTTTTTAATACGATGAAGCGAGAGTGTAATTTGAAATGATGCTTCTTAAAAGCCCGACCTACAGACGGTCTGAAACATTTCATTGTTAATTATGTCATAAATATCAGGTAAATAAACTACTTTTTATGTTTGGGGAAACCAAGGCACAGACAATGAGTGACGTGTACGAGACCCCAGTATCGTCAGTTTGAGAGCCTCGTTTTTCTTTCTCCTTCTCTGCTCAGTGCATTGTGCACGTGTCCTCTGGTGGCCCATCCAAAAGGGTGGCACATATGTTTGAGGATTTCTCTTTTCAAAAAGAAAGGAACTGGAAGTTTTACATATGACATAATAAGATTAAACGTGGTTTGTCTATACTTGTAGTTCTGTTGACTGAGTACTCATTTGTGAAATTAATTTTAAATTAAAAATATGAATAAAAGTATAAAATAAAAATGTGAAAAGATAGAAGATAGGTAACTGACAACTATTTTATATTTCATATTTGTTTTTCTTACCTAGCCTTTTCTTTCTCTTTGCAAATAAACATAAATGCAAAAATGCATGGGAAAATGTATATAGGCTTAAAATTATGTACTTAAATTTCCAGTAGCTTTAAGGGATATATTTTATATGTTTTATTTCTGAGAGCCCTTTGTACTTGAATATTTATGGAGTTTTGACCACCAGCTATCTGCCTACCCTTCTCACTGCCCATGCACGAAAAGTTTTAATTTAACATGAATTTCATAGTTGAATCATTTCATTGAGCCCGTTTGGAAAGGGTTTCTTTTTGCTCCTCATAAAGCCAGCTTTGTTTGCCTGTCAGAGAGACTTGGTATTTAAAAAAAAAAAAAACCATGAAAGGTTTTTTGTTACCATTGTCTATAAAAAAAAGGTAGTATTTTTAGTGTTGATGTAGCATCATGGAAGAAGGAAATATGGATTAAAAATAGTTGCCCACATTAATAGTACAATCTACTAATACTGTTAATACTCCTTCTGCTTTGGAATTATTTTTCCAAATCAGATTTTATAGTAAGATACTTAGTGATAGTGTGGGTTACTAAAATTTCAGTGTTAAAGCTGATCGGTTTGGTTTTATAGTCATATTTGTCCCACTTAAGTTGGGGGGGAGCATATTATAATTATTTCTCTCTCCCACCCCCTTGTTTCCCCTGTTGTGGAATACTTAAGTCACCTCCTGCGTATGACTCCCTTTTTTTTTATCTGATTTTTTTAAAATGTGTAGTTTTTGAAAATTGTTATGAGATTACTATTTAAAAAAAAGTTTTTTTAAATGTCTTATCTGGTCAACAGATACTTTTACGAGGGAAAATTCAGTACTAGGATGTAAAATTTAACCTGCTTTCTGGTGGGTCAGGTACCAGTGTTCTAAATGTGACATGTTGGCTTCCACTTTACTAAATAAATTTAGGTGGGCCACAAGACAGTCATAATTGAAAGTACCAGATCCTGTCTTTTTGTGCAGATTGTCTTTAAATTATATTTATATAATTACTATCTTACCTAAATACATGATTTTAACACATGAAAAGAACAGAACTTTGCTTTGTATTTGATACCACAGGATCAAAAGAGTTAAGTAAAAATCATTATTCTCCATTAGCCCTAAGGCACATTTACTTATTCTAAACAGAACTGTTCCTTTTTTGAACGAACCCTCATGAGGAGGGACCCAGGGGGACAGGTTTGTCTGAAAGACGCATGATTGAACTGCCCAGGTGACCCCAGGTGGTTGCAGGTGCATTTCGCGTGCATGGCTAAGGACCATGGACAGCAGTGCCCAAGGAGCCCATTCTGTGTGGTCGTTTCTTAACCTGATGTAACAAACAGTGTCTTCATTTTGGCAGATGTCCTATAGCATGTCTGACAGTGTTCATCTTTCCCTTTCCTCCTCTATGGCACTCATTTCACTTTGGCTCAAAGGAATGCACTAAATCCCAGGTATTGTAATTTGTGTGTGGTCTCCGACTGCTAACCCACGTTTATTTGTGAATTTGCATTGTAACTAATGAGCTTATAGTATGGATGTGTTTTGCTTGGTCTTGTTCTTTTGTGTTTTACCCTGATTTAGTAAAATCTCTTAAAACTTTGAAGCTCTCCCCAGGTTAGGTGGAGGCACGGCTGCTTTATTTGTGTAGACCGGGGGATAAATTGTCTACTTGCTTTGAAGAAAGACAAGTGCAGCCTATTTGTTTTTAAGAATAAGCAGAGCACTGGTCTTAACTCACCTGCTTTGCAAATAAATGAAGAGAAAAAGACAGACAGATTGACTGTCTGTCTTTAGTTGCTTTTTGTGTGAAAGTTTTTCTGTGGGAAATCCATCAGAAACTTAGATTTTAAAGGCTATTGGTGGAAGCTTTAAATTTCAGGAATCCCAATGTGAGTGCATTTTGTGAGACCACTGGTACAATTTTAGTCAGATAGAATAAAGGCTGAGTCTAACAGGAAATAATTTAAAAGCACTTGTGTTTTCTTATTTGCGCTTTATTTTTAACCAGGTTTCATGCTGTTATTTCATTCTGTATTTTAATCAAGGCCTGTGATAATATCTTTGCTCATTTTTTTCCTGCCAGCACATGACTAATTTATGATTTTCAGTATTACTCATTGGAAATTTTGGGTCAAATTAGGGGTTATCAGAGAATTTGGAGTCAAGGAAGAAAAATTGACTTCTTTCTGGAAACTAATTGGTTAAGTAATTAGTAAAGTATTATGGTTGTATTTTCTTATTGCCCAGGAAAAAGATCATGAATAATTTAATTCACATTAGAAGTCTACCCTCAGTGTATTGTCTTTGGCTATTATAGT